ATTTGGTGTTTGAGGTACTTGTGTCCCCACTCCTCACCGTGCTCCTCTTCCCATTTCCCTGCAGCGGCTGTCCGTTGGCATGGTATTTTGATTGACATGATTTAGAAAAGTGGTCTGGTTTTCCACATCGGTTACAATTAGGTCCCGCCTCTGGTGTTTTGTCTCTCTGCTTGTTCCCCTTTTGCTTGACCGGGCATTCAGCCTTAACATGTCCTTGCTTCCCACACCCATAGCATCTGGGATTAGGTCGAAGGACAGTAGCTAATGCAGTAATTTTATGTGCCACCGACCCCACCTTAGAGCATGCTGCCACCATTTCAGGGATGGATGGATTTCCAGGCATTGCCTCGATTATTTTTTGGCAATCCTCATTAGCATTATCTTTTGCTAACTCCAGGCAGAGCCTTTGTCTTAGCTCTTCATCGTCTACTTGTTTTTCTAATGAGGTGGCTATTCGCTCTACAAATTGCAGGAATGGTTCCTTAACTCCCTGTTTCACAGTGGTGTACTTAGGTCGTGGAGCCGCTAGCTCCATTGTTTGTATGAGTGCCGATATTCCCATACGCTGACATTGCTCTAGCAATGCAGGGGGCCACTGGGCTTGAATTTGAGGCTTTGAGAAAACTGGACCCGTTCCCATTAATGCGTCAACTCCAGCCCCTCTTCTCGGGTCTCCTGGAGGCAGCTGCGTGTTATCTAATGCTGCCCTCTCAGCTAGCTTCCTCCAATTTGTCAGGAATACTTGATACTGAATGGGTTGAAACAAGATTTGTGCGAGATGTGTGATATCATAGGGTGCTAACAAGTCTGTATTTATCACCCTTATCAGCCTCATTACTTCTGTGGAATTTATCCCATACTTAGAGGCACACATCTGCAAGTCCTGTACCACTTTCCAAGCAAACGGAGTATGCTCATCTTGTCTTTCTGAGTTTGGTACTGCCTTAAAAACTGGAAAAGCCTCAGGACCTGAAAGTGCAACTACATCATCTGTCTCAGAGGGATAACCGATCCTATATAATAGATTCTAGTTCCCTGCTTCTGCTGCCTTTTTCTTTACCTGGTTCCAAAATTTGCCTGGGTGTCGAGGCAACACTAACAGTCACAGGGGGCAGAGTCCACAGCTCTGTTGCTTTCCAGAGGGGTCGACAAGCAGCTCCTCCCTTTTGATCAGTGACAGGGGGCCGACAGGCAGCTCCTTCTGTTTGATCAGTGACAGGGTGACTAGCTACGGCCTCTTCATCCTCATCACTACTAGGCAATGCAGTATAAAGTGGATTAGGAGGAGGTGGAAGGTCTCCTTCATCCTGATCAATATGAGGAACAGAGGGCTCCGGGCATTTGTCCTGAGCTTCAAACTCTGACAACTGCTGAGTAGGGGTCTTATAGGGAGACGGGGTGATATCTGTTGGGGATGTCCAGCGCTGAGACATTTTACTTTGTTCGCTGGGTGTAGAATATTTACGACTTGGTTTAGGCTCATTTTTGTTGTCATCTAAGCCTCCTCCCGAACACTGCGAAGCCTGCAGGTGCCCTGGATTGTTGCCAGCTTAACTTTCCAAGGTTTCTGGCTGTCCTGTAATCGTATCTGCTGAACTCCCTTCCTTGGAATCTGAATCATTTTGTACTGTAGCTGATTTTGTTTCAGTTTCACCCGTTTCCTGTTCCATCTGCCATTCTTTCAGAGTGTCAAACAGCAAACGCCAGGTAATTGCAAGATCATTTACTTCTTTCGATCTTTTCGATATTTCATCCCATAATTTATCACCCACTTTCTGCCACGCAGATATACTAAAAGCGGTATTAGATGTAGCTTCAAAGCCCTGTTTTCTGCACCATAGCAGCACACGGCGCAATGCAAAATTGTTAACCTTGACACCCTTATGATTAAGGAGGGTTTTCCATGTAGATAAAACTACATTTTCCTCTTTAGTTATGTGCTGTCCCATTATTACAATTTTTGTTCCCGATGGCACACCCCGATAGCTTACCTAATGAGGCGTCGATAAAATCTTAGGTCCGGACCTTTTGGCAGAACTTCCATTGCTCTCAAAGCTTCATCGGGTGCCGTCTCCCTCGTGCATCGGCCCACGAGTCCCTCTCTCTCTAGGAGAGAAATCACTGCAAATTCTCTCTCTCTCAGAGATGAATCTTCAAATTCTTTCTCTCTCAGAGAAAAATCACCTCGAACTCTCTCTCGGAGATAAATCCCTTCAGCGCAGAAATCGTGTCGACGTCGCCAGATGTTGCTGTACAGTTGAGACAGCCAAAGCGACACAGAACAGTCTTCTTCCAAAAATAGGACAGGAGAGAAGGATCTTTATTGCAACAGGTTACAGACATTTATAGACCTTAACACAACATACATGTTAACCTGTAATTGGTGCTTTTATGTACACATACTTCAGGATTGGCTGCCAAATAGGAAAGTCATGCTGATACAGCATCTGCCGATTCATGGTGACCTGGCTAAAGCAGAGTCACGGTGACTTGCAAAAAGTCCAGGATTTCCGTTTTTGTAATTCCTGTCTTCCATCTTCTCCCTTCCTGAGAGTTGTTTACATTTTTCTGCATTCTGTGTGTCCTCCTCCTTTCAGGGGTATACCGTAATCTGGTCTATGTCTACTGCTTTGTCGATAAGTGCCAGGCTACTAATAGACCTGTTGTCTCCCCTGACAACTTGAAGGCACGTCCCAGATCGTAGAACCCAAAGTCTTGAGCATGGCACCAGCCACACAGTGAGTCATTGTCCTGATCCATTCATCTCCTTCTTCCTGTTCCATATTCAACATCTGAATAATGTTGCAAAGGCTAGGTGGTAGAATATCATTAAAGGAATAAGTCTTAGTGCTAATGCTGTTATACATTTGATCACGTACCCTATCCTTTGCCCAGGTGACCAAGAAGGCCAATGGCATCCTGGCCTGTATCAGGAATAGTGTGGCCAGCAGGACCGGGGAAGTGCCCCTGTACTCAGCACTGGTGTCATGGTTTGAACAGCCTCAAAATCCAATTCTGATTCCTAGCCCCCTCCCACATCTCAACCCCATGTGAGATGGGTTTTCCAGACAAAAACACAAGACTCAATATGGGGGGAAAGGAATATATTACAAGACTGTACACATAAATAAATACTATAATACACTGCATATAATCTTAACTCTATATCTATCTCTACCATGACAATAATATTTACAATGGGCCAAATCTCTTCTCCCTCCAAATAAAAGTCCAGGAGAGAAGAAGAAGAAAAGACCCCCTTCCAGTCTCTCAGCAGCAGGTCTCTCTAGGCAGCAGGCTCTCCTCTTCCAGGCAGAAGCAGTTGCTGGCTGTCTGCCAGCACACACGAGGGAGGCTTCCAAACCTCTCTCGGCCCCCGTCTTCAAACGGGGGTCTTTCCATGGGCTGCGTAACCCCAGACAAGGTCGCGTCATCACGGTCATATCACGAAGCACAGGGGTCTTCGTGACGGTCTGGTATCCTCAGGGGAAATCAAGCCCCTTCACAGAGCTCCCATGCTCTGACTCAAAGATGGCTGCCAGCTTCTCTGAAGCCTGGCAGCAGTGGGGGGGGGGCCAAGGTCACCCCACACACACACATTCCTTTGGCCATCCTGGCTTTAGCTCTCAGGACGCCATGAGCTTCTTGCTTATCTCTCAGTGCATACTGCACTTTAGGACTCCTCTCAGTCCACCACCCCCTCCTCTTCCTCGGAGGGGTCTCTAGGGAGTTTGGGGGTTTTGGTTATTTAGTTCTTACCCCGAAACTCTGTTCCTGCTGCTGGCTCGGTTCTCTTGTCCTGCTTTCTGCTGCTGGTTCTTTTCTCTCTTTCCTTGCAGGAGTTTTTCTGTCTGCTTTCTTGGTCCTTATCAGTTGGCTCTTTGCCACTGCTCTTCGGACGCTGCTGTCCCTGCTGCTCCGTCGCCCACTCACAGTGGAGAAAACTCCTCCAACTTCTCAGCCACAGGCACTTAGTTCAGTTCAACACCATTCCAAGTCCACATAGCCCCCCAGCCGGGGGCTGGGGGTGGGCCGGAGGCCCCAAGGGCTCCCTGAGCCCCTTCCTCGTGGCCCTCACAACATGGCCACCTCTTCTTCTAACAAGTACCACTGCTTCTTTTCCAGTCTCCAGAGATATGTTTATATTTTGCAGGAGCACTGATTGGGTCAAACCCCAAGGGTCACCACCCCCTGGGGGTTACCATTTTCCTAGTTTCAGGGGGAAAACCTGGTTCAAACCACTACAACTGGTGAGTCCGCACCTGGAGTATTGTGTCCAGTTCTGGGCCCTTCAATTTAGGAAGGACGTTGAGGTGCTGGAGCATGCCCAAAGAAGAGCAACGAGGCTGGTGAAGGGACTGGAGCACAAGTCCTATGAGGAGCAGCTGAGGGAGTTGGGGTTGTTTAGCCTGGAGAAGAGGAGGCTCAGGGGAGACCTCATCACTCTCTACAAGTACCTGAAAGGAGGTTGTAGTGAGGTTGGGGTCGGTCTCTTCTCCCAGGCAACTAGCAGTAGGACAAGAGGGCACAGTCTTAAGCTGTGCCAGGGGAGGTTTAGGTTAGACATTAGGAAGAAATTGTTTACAGAGAGAGTGATAAGACATTGGAATGGGTTGCCCAGATGTTGCGCTCCGGATTAAGCTATAATCTGCCCAGAGCAGTTGCATTCTTTATTTAAGACTTTTTAAAAGCCTTTTAGTTTATTATAACCTCTAATTAGCATCTGGAGAAAGAGTCACCCACTCTTCTCTAAGAGAAATTCTTTTTAATTTAGTGAGAAAAATAAGATGTTTTGGCAAAAGATTTTTACAGGAGTAAAATACAACCAAGAAAAGAGCATTTCACTAAAACATTCAGCACAAAAACCCATTCCACAGGAAACACACACTAAAACAATCCATATACCGGCTTTAGTAAAACACAATTCATTGGTTTTAAGTTACCCACAAGAGAAGGAAAAGAATAAAAGAAAACAGATTAAAAAGAAAGAAGAAAGAGAGAAGGAGAGGAGAATAGTTACCGACAAGATTCGATGGTTCACATGGTGCTGGCTGGAGAGGGAGAAGAGAGAAGGAGTCTCGTGTATTTATAAAGTTCAGTTTTCCCTCCCAGGCAGGATATCTAGTCAGGGCCTTCCAGGCTAGAGTGAGTTGTGCTGTAGCAAGTCACAGGCTGCAGGGGCACAGTGTGGGTGGGCTACCAGGCAGCTCTGCCTTGACCGTCAGCTGGCTGCAGGGCCTTCAGTTAGGCCATGTGCTCTGCATGGGCTGCAGGCCTTATGTGCAGGCCTTACTACGTTCCTGCAGGTCTAGGCCCAGCCCTTCCCCACATGCACACACTCATAGTGAGTTGGTTTGGACCCATATCAATAATTCAGTGAGATTTGGATCCAGGATCTCACACCAGGGAGGTGGTGGATTCACAGCCCCTGGAGGTATTTAAGCAGAGACTGGATGTGGCACTTAGTGCCGTGGTCTAGTAAGCAAGGTGGTGTTAGGTCAAAGGTTGAACTTGATGATCTCAGAGGTCTTTTCCAACCTAGTTAATTCTGTCGTTCTGTGACTGTACTGCTTGCAACTACTCTGTTGCTTTCTATTTACTATTGTTATGACTTCCCTGTATACCCATACTATTTGCCTTGCTAAGCAGCTGTATTGTCTGAGATGGAGTTCATTTCCCCATATCAGCCCTCACAGTGCTGTGCTTTACAGTGGTAGCTAGAAGGGTGTTGATAACACATCAGTGTTTTGGCTACTGCTGAGCACAGCATCAGTACTGTAGCATTCCTTCCCCAATCAAGGGCAAGATTCTGGGAGGGGACACAACCAGGTCAGCTGACCCAAACTGACCAAAGGGTTATTCCACACCATATGACAACAGCTCAGATATAAAAGCTAAGGAAAGGAGGAGGAAGGGAAGGGCATTTGTTGTTTCCAATGGCTGTCTGCTGAGAAACTACTCCTCGTGCTGAAGTCCTGTTTTCTGGGACATCAGTCAGACATTGCTTACTGATGGGAAGTAGAGAATAAACCTTGTTATTTTCTGCTTCGCTTGTGCGCAAGCAAACTTTTGCTTTTTTCTTTAGTAAACTGCCTTATCTCAACCTACGAATCATTTTCCATCTTATTCTCTCTCCCCTTTACGGCTGGGGAGTGATAGAGTGGCTTGGTGGGCACTTGGTGTCCAGCCAAGGTCAACCCACTACAGCAGCTTGTTAATATGCATAATAAAATGGCTCTTTAATTGGTAGCAAACAAACAAAGTTGTGATCAAGATCAATGGGTGGAGTGTATTGGGAGCCTTGCAGAACACATTATATTTAAGGAGTTACTGATTTTGAGCAAACCATGTCCACTGTATTGGGCCTTGTACTTAGGGTTTGAGAAACCCATATGTTATTAATAAAATTTTTACCTATACCTTTGAGAAAGTTAAATTTTATGTGGATCAAAGGGTGAAATATAGTGATCCAAACAAGGAGACCACTGTACATTGAAGAGTTAGTGATCTACGTAACGGTTAACCAGAATAAGCCTAGGCTTGTACTGTGCTGCATTGTGCTGCACATACAGTGTGGCCTTCAGGCCTGTGTTGTGCTGCACAAATTTTTTGGATGCAGGATAAATTCAGTCAGCAAATTGTAACAGAGTAGACTGCAGGCAGCTCCTGCTTGGTATTGGTGATTTGCCTTGTCTTTATCTAATGGTGCAGTAAGAATTTTTCATGAGAATATTCTTTATGAATAAAGTTGCTTTTTTTGTAAGAAATTATGGGTTGAAAGACCAAAAAGGAAGAAACTCACCACATACAGGTTTTGCACAGTGTGCCATGGGAAAAACTATCTGGGGTCCATATGATGCTGCACAAATTAGGGGCTCCCAGCATCTGTATAGACATAAATTTTATTCACTATCTATATTTCTCTTTTATCTACCTTATTAAAACAGCTATTTTATTATTCTTTTTGTATTCGGGCCTTTCTGACTGAGATCCAGAGAAAACTCTCTCTTTCTCTCTCCCAGCCCTGGTTCAAAACAAGTGCCTTCCTCTGAGAGTGTCTTCAGCACATAGCGTAAAGGTTAAATAGATTTTGATACCAAGACACTCCAGTCACAAATATGTACAATTTTACAAATTACCCTATCCCACAAGGGAGGCAGCATAGTGAGGGAGAAAGATCAGGAGGGTCAGCATAGCTGTTCCTTACCTGACCTTCTTGTCCTGTGACAGAGGACATAGTCCAGGAGAGAAATCAGGCATGTAAGCATGGTGGTTCCAGTTGTGCATAGGGGAGTCCTGGGGAAGGGTTATGAGGTTCCCTGACCTCTTTTTTTCTTCCAGAGTTCCCTAGAGTTTGTAGATCCTGGTGCAGTGTCGTAGCCCTGCCTTCCTAGGAGTTTTTTCAGGTACTCTCTGTTACCCTTAAGTGTCCTTAGTTATATAATTAGGTAGAGAACACCTTGTCGATTATTAGCCTGTTCAAAATGCACTGTTGTTGATGCTCAGTTTACTTGTTCCAGGTACTTCTGGCCACTTTTGGATAATCACATCTTGCTTGTATAGTTTGGCTGTTTCTTTGAGCACACCAAAACTATTCTGTTGTTTGGGGTAAATCGTTGATAATATTTCCCTGCTTCTACTACAGCAATGAAAGCCAGTTGCTCCCTGAGGGATAGGCAGTCAGGAGCCAAGCATAACACAGCTGTCAGGGCAGGGGCTCCACTAGCCAGGGCCCAGTCCCACTGTATCCAAATGAAGTGAGCAGGGTAGACTTGGGAATGGCAGCCAGAATCAAGTGAGAGTCCAGATTGTCAGATAAGTTTGGAATGACAAATCAGATCCAAGGTCAAGCTGGGAAGTCAATCTGCAAGACAGGATCAGGACCAGTGATGGTAACAAGGGTCAGTCACAGTGCAGTGATTGCCAAACAAGTCCATAGAGATGAAACAAGTCCAAAGACAAGCTGGGAAATCAGTGCATACATCAGGATCCAGATAACAGGGCTCGTAGGCAGACACAGCTGTGACAGAGAAGGAGACAGGTACACCTATAATGAAGCTGAGGAAGTGACCAGCAATACTCCTGAGCCTATGGTCAGAGGGTGTGGGTGAGGCCCGAGATGAGGTTGGTCAAGATCATTATCACTATCACTATTAGTGCACTCAGGGTCTTGACAGCAGCCTCCCCTCACAGCCAGGTGTGTTCTCATACCTTAAAGAAAGCTGGGTTCACAAGGGACTTGCTACAGGGTGATTTCATTGCTAAGGAGTGTCAGTAAGCTATATAAGGGGGTGCAGAGCCAGGGTAGGACACTAGAAAAGATTTATGGGTAAAAATTAGGGACCAAACCAGCAAAGGAAACCTTGGTGGTTGGTGTTTACTACAGGCTGCCTGATCAAGGGGAGCCTGTTGACAAAGCAGTCCTATTAAAACTACAGGAAGCATCATGCTTGCAGGCTCTGATCCAGATGGGGGTCTTCAATCACCCTGACATCTGCTGGAAAAACAACTAAGCAAGCTGTAAGCAGTCCAGGAGACTGGATCTGTTGCTTACCAACACTGAAGAACTAATTAGGGATGTCAAGACTGGTGGCAACCTGGCCTTCAGTGATCATGTCCTTCTGGAAATCATGATCTTGAAGGATATGGGCCAGGTGAAGAGTAGAGTCAGGACTCTGAATTTTAGGAAAGCAAACTTTAATTTCTTTAAGGAATTAGTGGATGGGACCTCCTGGGAAACTGCCTGTAAGCTGATAGATAAGACCACACAAAAGAAGAAAAAGGATCTTGATGGTTTCCTGGAAAAACTCCTGTACCTGGGGAGACATTCCCAGAAACTGATAAAAGGATTAAACAGAAAGAAAGGAGTGATATGGAGCCTTTTTTTGAGAACATCCTGGCTTCTGGGAACTCGGGAAGTGGACCCTTAGACCTATTTCATCTGGCTATCACCCCAAAAAATAGTTTACTGACTCATCATGGCTAAGCTTCGCGAACGAAGATTTGGAGAGGGCTCTACCCACATTTGTTACAAGCGCGCTGGTGGCTAAAAAGGCCAATATGGGATAGGCATGTCCGGTTGCAAAAGACACAGCAGAAAGACTCCTTATGTGGTATATTCTGCAAGACACGATTCTTTCTGCGTTGTCTTTTCTCCTCAAGAGTGATCCTGCATGCTTTCTCAAAAGCATCAGCAGCATTATAGATAGTGTGCCTCCAAACCTCCCGATTGGAGGTCAGAGTAGACCAGTTATGTTGATCAATATGGCCAAGGCTGAGATGTTGTTTCAGGGAGTCCTTGTATCTTCTCTTCAGGGCTCCTCTCTTGCGGCAGCCAGTGGCAAGTTCACCATAAAGCAAGATCTTAGGGAGGCAGTGGTCCTTCATCCTGGAGATGTGTCCTGCCCAATGCAACTGTGTTCTCAGCAACATGGCCTCAATACTTGTGACTGCTGCTTGTTCTAGAACAGACGTATTAGTTACATAATCTGACCAGTGGATGTTTAGGATTGTACGGAGACAGCGTTGATGGAAGCGTTCTAAGAGTCGCAGGTGGTGGCAGTAGATGACCCATGATTCGCATCCGTATAAAAGAGTAGACAGCACAATGGCTCTGTAAACACTGATCTTTGTACTTTTCTTCAAGTGTTTATTTTGCCAAACTCTTTTATAAAGCTTTCTGAAGGCACTATATGCCTTTGCTAACCTGTTGTCTATCTCTCCATCAATCTTACTGTCCGAGGACATGATGCTACCTAGGTAATTAAACTGCTGGACTGATTTGAGCTCTGATTGGCCAATGGTGATATGGGGATGATGGAAGACTTCCTGAGGTGCAGGTTGATAGAGAACTTCAGTCTTCTTTAAGCTGACTTCCAGCCCAAAGAGCTCAGCAGCGTCTGCAAAGCAGGATGTTAAATGCTGCAGAGCTGCTTCTGTGTGAGTGACGAGGGCGTTGTCATCAGTGTAAAGCTGCTCCCGGACAAGATGATTTAAGGTCTTAGTATGGGCCTTCAGTCGCCTTAGGTTTAATAGGCTTCCATCAGTAAGATATCGAATGTAGATACCATCTTCTTCATCGAGGTCTGCCCTGGCCCTTTGGAGCATCATGCTGAAAAAGATTGTGAATAGGGTTGGTGCAAGAACGCAGCCTTGTTTCACACCACTGGATATTAGAAAGGGCTCAGAAAGTGCATCGCCATATCTGATCCTCATGAAGTAAGGTGATAATTTTAAGGAACTTGGGGGGACAACCTAAACGTTCCAAAATCTGCCAAAGACCTTTTCTGCTCACAGTATCAAAAGCCTTGGTGAGATCAACAAAGGTTACATAAAGACCTTTGTTCTGTTCCCTACACTTCTCTTGCAGTTGTCTGAGAACAAATACCATGTCTGTGGTACTCCTATTGGCTCTGAAACCATGTTGGCTTTCAGGAAGAAGTTCTTCTGCTATAGCAGGTATTAATCTGTTCAAAAGTATTCTTGCCAGGATCTTGCCAGCAATGGAGAGCAGAGTAATACCCCAGTAGTTAGAGCAGTCTGATTTATCTCCCTTCTTCTTATACAAGGTGATGATGACTGCATCACGAAGGTCTGATGGTAGTTCGCCTAGTTCCCAACAGCGCACCACAAACTCGTGGAATTTAGCATGGAGTGCTTGACCCCCGTGTTTCCAGACTTCAGGTGGAATTCCATCAACCCCAGTTGCCTTGCCAATTTTCACCTGCTGTATGGCCTTAAGAGTTTCTCCCATAGTAGGGGCAATATCCAATTCATTCTTCACTGGTTGCTGTGTGATGGACTGAATTGGTGAGTCTTGAACTACATGGTTAGTACTGAAAAGAGTCTGAAAGTGTTTAGACCATTGATTCAGAATGGAGGTTTTATTTGTGAGAAGCATTTGACCATCTGCGCTGAGTAGAGGGCTTTGGACCTGGTATGTAGGCCCGTATGCTGTCTTTAAGGCCTCATAGAATCCTCTGTGATCACCCATATCTGTGCATAATTGAATTTTTCCCGCTAGACTGATCCACCACTTGTTCTGGATGTCACGAAGTTTCTGTTGGAGCTTGCTGCATGCGAGACGAAAGGCTGCTTTTCCTACATGACAAGATGACTGAGCAAGGTGTGCTTGGTGAGCAGTTCTCTTCTTCCTCAACAATTCCTGGATCTCTTGATTGTTTTCATCAAACCAGTCCTTGTTCTTCTTGAAGGAGAACCCTAAGGATTCTTCAGAGGACTGCAGGATGCCATTTTTAATATGTTGCCAAAGTGATTCAGGAGAGGGATCTATGGAATGAACTTCGAGCCTAGTTTGAAGGTTTACCTGAAAGCTGTCTCTCACTTTAGCTGATTAAAGATCGTTAACTTGGAGTCTCCTTCTTGGGATACTGCCCCTTTTAGGTTTGAACTTAAGGTTGAAGTTAAGTTTACAGCGCACAAGTCAATGGTCTGTTTGGCATTCTGCGGGTATGATGAACATCTGTCACACCAAGACGTAATCAATGAGGTGCCAATGCTTGGATCTAGGATGCATCCAGGTTGTCTTCAGACTATTTTTCTGCTGAAAGATAGTGTTGGCCATGGTGAGCTGCTGCTCCGCACAAAACTCTAGCAGAAGGTGACCATTATCGTTGCATTTTCCAACACCATGCTTGCCTAATATTCCTTTCCAGGCTTCAAAATTTTTTCCTACTCTGACATTGAAATCACCAAGGATAATGATCTTATCATCTGCAGGAACCTTTTGGGTAAGGCGGTGCAGGTCGGTATAAAATTTATCTTTTTCGGCAGGGTCAGTTTGGAGAGTTGGGGTATATATACTAAAGAGGACCACATGTTGTTTGTTGTGTAGTGGAAGGTGTAAGGAGATAATGCAATCAGAATGACCTGTCGGCAGATTTTCGAGTTTAGGGACAATAGAGTTTTTAATCATGAAGCCAACTCCTGAGAGATGCCTTTCAGTTCTGGGTTTACCTGACCAAAAGAGTGTGTAACCGGCACCATGTTCTCTAAGGCTGCCTTCCTCATGGAGACAAACTTCACTGAGAGCAGCGATGTCGATGTTGAGACATGACAGTTCGTGGGCAATTAGGACAGAGCGACGCTCAGGACGTCCACTATCCACATGGTGCTGATGTTCCAGCATGCGAGTGTCAATTTGGGTACACCTTTGAAGGCGGGTGTATGCCTTTGTCTCTTAATCTTTGTGTGACCACAATTAGAAGATGCCCTTTGGCCGCAGTTAACCAACCGGGTGAAGGGTGGAGATGAGCTTTGGTTAGGTCACCTTTTCTAGGCCCCTCTCCATGTGGAGCAAGCAGTGCTCTCCTTGAAAAAGGCTGCTTGGTCATTCAGGATGCTGCTGAAAGAGACTGTCGTCTCCGGGGTCAGTCTCAGGTGACCAAAGTCCTGAACCGCCTGCATGCAGGGTTGGGTCTGCGGCTTCCAGTGCACCTTATCACCTGCTGTTTCGACCCTTGCCTGTTGCTACAGGGCTTTACAAATGTGGGTATAACCTTCGAGCCTGTGCAGTGGATTTTTTAGGTGAGACACGCATGCGCAGAACTGGACCCACCCTTTAATCCTAAACTTCATCTGCCAGGGCCTAGTGAGCTTGGACGGTGGCAGCGAGGTCTTTAGGACATAGGTTTAATTGGAGTATCTTTCTCTTAGATGGATGACCTTACAGGGCTAAGTGAACTCCATCTGCCTTGGTTTGGAATTAGACTTATCCTTCTTCTAGGATGACTGCCAGAAGGCTAGCGAGCTCATCTTGCCCATGGACACATTTTATCTGACCCTTCGGTTTTGACCTGTCTGGCATGGGAGACCCTGCCGAAGGCATGTAGCATTGCCAGCATAGCTCTCAACCGCAAAGGGGCACACAGGCTTCTTCCCCACTAAAACGGTTAGGGCAAGCCTTTCACTCCCTACTTTTCTGCCACCCACCTATACTCAATCCCAGGTATATACCCAGGAACATTCCTTTGTCCTGACCACCCTTTCAGGATGCTATAGATCCAAAAACAAACCGTTCCTGGGCAGTAGCCACAGGTGAGCCAAAAGCAAACAGTTCCAGTTCCCACACCCACCTGGGGCTCAGGTATCTACCATGGCCCCAGACCAGCCAAAACCCCCCAACCCCCCAAAAGAACCCACTATCCACCCTGACCTTATCCTCCCCCCACCGTGTTACCACAGATCTTCCCTCGCACTGCTCACCTGTGACACTCCATACAGGACTGCCCTACCCGCCCTCCCGCCGATCCGGGGACCCCCACGGCCCACCTGACACCCTTTCCCTCCCCCAAATTGGACTGGCAAACCTCTGTGCGCTCCGAAGTTCTTCCTCTCCTCTCCCACGAGGGCACAATCCCCGCTGGCGGCAGCACAGCGCAGCCAGCCGTTGTAGTGTGGCCCGGTGTGACTGACGTCCAACGCGGCGCGGCCAGCCGTCCAACCCTCGGGACAGTAGATATGGAAGAACTACTGCCTGAAGGATGGACCCATGTTGGAGAGGTCCCTCAAGGACTGCTACCTGTGAGAGGGACCCCACAGAGCAGGGGA